ATTATTATTATTATTATTATTATTATTATTATTATTATTATTATTATTATTATTATTATTATTATTATTATTATTATTATTATTATTATTATTATTATTATTATTATTATTATTATTATTATTATTATTATTATTATTATTATTATTATTATTATTATTATTAGTATTATTATTATTATTATTATTATTATTATTTTAATTCTTGTTATTATTATTCCTGTTATTATTATTATTATTATTATTATTATTACTCCATATTATTATAATTATTATTTTTATTATTGTTTTTTAAAATTATTATTATTATTATTAATAATATTATTTATTTTTATTATTATACATATTAATTATTATTATAATTACAATTATAATTATAGTTATAATTATTATAATCAGTGTAGTAGGTGTAATGTTTCATAACTTTAATTATAATTATAATTATAATTATAATTATAATTATAATTAAATATTTTTAGAATTATGACTATAATTATAAATTATATTTATAATTACAATTATAATTATAATAATTATAATTATAATTAAAGAAATATTCAGATCAGATCAGAAAGATTCAGATCAGAAGGATTCAGATCAGATCAGAAAGCAGATCAGATCAGAAACATTCAGATCAGATTAGATCAGATCAGAACTTAATAAATTCAGATCAGAAACATTCAGATCAGACGAACAGAAGAGCTTCTAAATCTGTAATATAATTGGTGTCATTTGACACCACAAGCTAAAGAGTGGCTCTGTCCCTCAGTCCATCGATGCTCTTTCATCATCAACCGCTGCTCTTTACCGTCGACTCCTGCTCTTTCACCATCGACCGCCACTCCTCTGTTAAATGTTTCTCCATACCTAATTAGGTAAAAATGGGTTTTAACCTTCCTGAACATGAGATGTCTATTGTTTTTTTCTTTGAGCTCGATTTTTGTATACTTTTTATCAAAGATTTGTTTAGTTGCTTTAGTTTAATATAGCACTTCAATACTACCACTCCATGAATCCTAGGCTTAAGAAAACGATCCTATTTCATGAAAATGATTTTATTCTTAAGATTTGATTCATGTATGTTTTTGTGGAGCCTTTGTTTAACTTTTTGTTTTTGTTTTTTTGAGAGGATTGTTTAACTTCTTTGCATTTGAGATTAATCGTTAAAAAAAGTTATGTCAAATTGTTTCATTTGTTGGTTAAAATGTCCCTATGAGGTTTTATTTCAATGCTGGATGGTTTAATCTGAAGTGACCTTTCTAGAACTCAAAGAGTATCACGTACTGATTAAAAACTATTTATGAGTAATACTCCATGTCATATAAAAATATGGGGAAAATATTGATGGATGCGTTGTTTGCATTCATAGTTCTACTAGTTACGTATATCACCCGTGCACCGGAAATTTATTTTCTTGATCATATTAGATAACTTTAAAAGGGCATATAATAATGGTTACATATCACAAAATGGTGTAAATATTGGAGAAACAATATATCGCCAGAATGAATAATTATTTAAATTAGAGTAATAATAATGTGATATTTCAAAATAGAAGTACTATATTTTTCATAAGTTAGAATAGTTAGTTATATGCTTGAAAAAGTGTTAATCACGAGAGTAATATTGTAATATGAGTGATTGATCGTGCCAAAAGATGACAATATGATTTCAGAGCGATGGTAACCTACTCATATTTAATTAGGGGGAAATATTGTACTCTTGATCTTACATTACAATTTCTTTATTTCTATTTCGGAAAAATTCCTAAACATGACTTATTAATGAGCAATAAATCACATAAATAAATATCAGAAAAATCTTTTTGTCAAAACTAACAAGCATTAATTGGAGGTGGCCTAATTAACGATTTTGATACAAAAAAAAACAAAGCGATAACGTAACAATATAATCAGGAGAAGAAATAAAATAACATTCAGAAAAGTAAATATATATCAACATAATGACTCGATCAGACCTACTCATATCATCTATGTGTCACAATTCCAAAAATAAGATGTTTAGTTTTAATTTTTCAAAGAAATGAACAGTTTTCTCCTCAAAAAAAAAAAGAAATGAACAGTTTTAAATGACTTTATTTTTTTAAAAACTAATAAATTAAAATAAAAAAATATGTGAACGTTTCAATTTACACTATTGATATCATTTACAATTTAATTACATTTTCAGACAATCATAACCTTTGATTTATTTGAAAGGATAGATTAATGAAGAAAGTTACACAAAAATTAGTATAGTGAAAAAGAAAAATAATACTCCTTCCGTCCCCCTAACTTTGTCTCGTTTTACCTTTTTCGTCTCATACTATATTTGGTAATATTTTGGTGGTTACAATTCATTCTTACTTTATTTACACTTTATCAATTCAATACTAACCACATAATTCCACTTTTTCTAAACAGTTGTGTCACACTTCTTTGTCCCAAACATTGTGGGACAGAGGTAGTACATAAAAATGATGATAGAGCCTTCTCATGATCGATACTTGGGTGTGATACCTAAGGATGAATAATAATAAAGTAGAGAGTGTATTTTTTTTGAAAGTAATTTATAGATGTATTTATGATACATAAATTGATTTTGTATCTTATAAATGCATTTAATGTAAAAATGGGAGGGAAGATATAATTGGGGGAAAAATTAACAACAATAATTCTACCTTTCACTGGTCTTCTCTTAATAATCCTACCTTTACATAATCCCAAAATAATCCCACATTTGCACCTCATCTTCTTTCATTGGACCCTGACCAAGTTTTTTACCTTTATTTGAAAATCTTATATAAATAATCTCACATTTATAAAGATATAATAGAAAAGTGAAAGGTGAGATTATTTATATGATTTTCAAAAAAAGAGTAAAAAACATGGTCAAGGTCCAATGAAAGAAAATGAGGTGCAAAAGTGGGATTATTCTGGGATTATCAAAAGGTTGGATTATTATGAGAAGACCAGCGAAAAGTGGGATTATTTTTGTCAATTTTTCCAATATGGAAAAATTGACAAGAATAGGATAGGATTATGATTAGAATCTTACAATTGAAAATATACCATTGTCTCTAGTGTTATTTCCTGTAGAGGGGTGTTTTTCAAACTTATTTCCCAAACTAGGGCACTTTTAAAGTTATTTCCCAAAGTAGGGTAGTTTTTGCCATGTCATCTCATTCCCAAAGTAGGGTAGTTTTTGCCACATCAGATTGTCCACATCATCACTGCAATTCCATGTCATCCAAATTAAAGAGTTTAATGTGTTTTCTAAAATCTAGGATAAAAAGAACACGACTGGGTTCGAACCTGCGTCAATTGTTGGACGAAAAAATTTCCCAACACACCCAACCACTAGGCTACCGTAATGTTTTGTAACATCATTGACGTTTGTGGTATTAAACTCATATACTCTTGAGATATTATTCGTTCCTTTAATATTCGTTCCTTTAATTAGAAATATATTACTATGAGCATTTCTTTTCCAAATAATTAAAAAATATTACAAAAAACTTAATTTGAAATATTTAATTAAAAAACTAAATCAAACTTATAATAAAAAAATTTAAAAAACTTATTTGAAATATTTAATTAAAAAACTAAATAAAACTTATAATAATAAAAAACTTAATTTGAGATAGTTAACTAAAAAACGAAAATTCTCGAAATAGGATTAAAACAGTTTGAAAATTCCAAAATAGGACTGTCATGTTTTTCCCCCCGTAAATTAAGAGTAATTACTGCCAAGTTTGAAAAAATACTGTCATGTTTGAAATCTGGAAAATACTTTATGAAAATTCTTTATAGCAACTCAACTTGGCTCGGTAGGGCCTCAGTTAAGGCTGAACGCGGATCTGGGAATTCCCGTTCCGTACCAAAGAACCGTCCCGAACCGTTCCAGAATCAATAGAACCGGAAAAATGTAATATCGTACCATACTGAGTTTTTTTTAATAATATGGTACGGTACCGGTTCTTAGTGAGAAGTGTACCGGAACCGTACTTTGGGACTGGACATGTTTTTCAAAATAACCGTCGCGTACCGTCTCATGCTCACCCCTAGCCTCGGTACATAGAACTCTGCATATATTAATTTACCATGTTTTTTTGTCTTAGATAAATTTTACTACTCCGTCCCACTATGTTTGGGACAAAGAAGTGTGGCACAAATTTTAAGAAAAAATGGGATTGTGTGGTTGGTGTTGAATTGATAAAGTGTGAATAAAGTAAGAATAAATTGTAACCACCCAAATATTGCCAAATATTGTATGGGACAAACTTAATGGGACAAAGTTAGGGGACGGAGAGAATATATGATTTTTTCTCTCACATGAATATGTCCAAATTTGAATTGGGGTGAGTTATTTTAAATTTTAATTAGGTATTTATTTTTTAATTACCTAAAATTTACGGAGTAGTATTTTATGTAATTTTTAAAAAAAGAAGTTATTTATCTGCCAACTCAATACGATTGATAGTGCATTATACTTTTAATATCTTAAAAGCCGAGATAGTCACAACTGAGTTGTGTAGTCTAATGGTGTGGTATTAGTAAAAACTCTCTTGATTAAGATTGGCACAGGTTCAAACCCAATTGCATTCATTTTTTCCCAAAATTTTAGAAGCACTTAAACTCTTTAAATTGGATGACATGGAATTGCAGTGATGATGTGGACAAGCTGATGTGGCGACCCGCGGTGATAATGAGATGACATGGAAAAAACTACCCTAATTTGGGAAATAAGTTTAGAAGTGCCCTAGTTTGGGAAATAAGTTTGAAAAACACCCCTCTTAGGGAAAAAACTCATTGTCTCTATATTAAAGGTCTTGATGGTTATTAGTATGGATCTATAATCTATTCGAGCCTGAATAATTAAGAAGAATAAGAATTTTTTATGCTATCTCCAACATTTTATTGAAGAAAACTACATATCAATTTAGAAAGAATTGAGATTTTTTTATTGTCCACTTAAATCTATACTAAAAACTCCATATCTAGGTATGTGCTAGGATGAAGACTGATCGAGGTAAAACAACAAAGAAAACTGCCACTTCTCCACTGATTATTTGTTCGCCGGTCTCCACTTCACTATTTAGGTAAATACTACTACGTAGTATATAGTACCTATGCATACGTACGAGAAAGAACATTTGATACATGTATTTTTATTTGCAATCTTATTAAATATTAAAATAAAATAACATTTTAGGATTTTACAATTTTCAAAAATAGGAGTACAATAAGCTATTATCATAAAATGTAAGCCCATATAATAAATATTAAATGAATGGAATATTAGGGAAAATTAATTGACACCATTCATTAGATTGCTACTAATTAATTTTTGTGATTAAATTAATTTTAGAATTAAACATTATTCTAACAAAGTGAGTACAATATGTGAGTCACATAAAGTTTAAGTCAATAAAATAAATATTAAAAGTAATGAATATTAGTTAAATAAGAACTTGCTACTTATTAGTTAATTAATTGGTGGTAACATATAAAACAACTCCATCTGTCTCTGAATTATCTTTCAAATAGGGTTTTGCACATGAATTAAGAAAGTGAAGATTTTGTGTTGAAGAGTTGTACAGAGAGAGAAAAAAGTGTAAGAAATATTGTGAGCCATAAATTTTTTGCCAAAAAGCTAAGGGAAAGGAGAGATTATTTTGTGATGAACGAAAAAGGATAGTTGGAAGATAATTTAGGGACAAATGAAATATTAAATTTACTTGTTAGAAGTTTTTGAAAGTCTCTTTAAATACAACATCTGTAGTAATGTCTATTCCCTAATGATTTATCATTGTTATTATGTATTGAAATCTGTAATGCATATTTGCTCTGAACTCTCGATAATGCGACATACAATTGGGCGTGACTAAAAAGGATCTTGACGGGTATAATCTAACTCTTTCCAGTGATTGACCTTAAAATTTGTTGATGGTGATATCAAAAGAGACAATTATAAGAAATTGTATTCTAATAAATTTAAAAGGTCATAACAATTGAGAAAATGACATACATATGCGATTAATGTACATTTTATTCATAGTGTTGCTTCCGACATGATTCTTGCTTTGATAACATGATTTCCGTGTCTTATAAAGTTCAAAGGAAAAATTGCACTTTTAGTCCCTCAAATAATCAGTGTATTGAAATGACAGACCCATATTTCTGATATTGTAAATGTAACTCCTCAATTGTCCAAATTGTTGTATATGTGGTCCTTTGAGGGGTGAAATGTACACCTCGCCCACATTGTACATTTCACACCTCAAAGGCCCACATTTACAGCAATTCAGACAATTAAGGGATGACATTTACTGGAAAATACCGGATATTGGTATAAATAACAATAATGGTAAATGTTTTCAAATACCGCGCTATACCAGTATAATGTCGTACCGACTCTCTACCCAACCATTACTTTTAATTCTAAAATATTGTAAAAATCCATTATAATTATGAAACTCAAAATTAATACTTAGGTTGGTTACAAACACCAAAATACAAAAATAAAGGCCAATTTCCCAAACCCACTATAACCTTCTAGGCTTCTACTACGTAACATTCAAACACACTAACCCTAATGACTAATGAGTAATGTACTAATTAATGTTCAGAAAAAAGTCCATCTTGTTCCAAGAGCTTGTGAGTCGTGATGGCTGAGTCGTTGAGTAGCTGACGAGTGAAGAGGGAGAGACTTATGTGATGAGTGTATCTACATAGGGATTCCACGAGTCGAGACACACAACTTTGTCCAAAAGTCTTATTCAATTTTTTTTTTTAAATTACAAAAATGACTAAATTCACAATATCATATTAGGAAAAAATGATTTTGTATCCATATTATTTGAATAATTTTTTTTGTCAGAGATCACTATTGATTTAATTATATCTACATTTTTCAAGTTATTTTAAAAGAATGTTTTATTGTTAGAACTGCTTAAATATACTAATAATAATTATTGTTCAATATTGAATATATATGACATCAATAGATTATTAATTGTATTTTGTAAAACATTTTAATAATGGATTAAATATGGTGCGAGTAACACCGATGTAATATATTTTGTTAGTCTGTGATAATTTGTTGTATTGGGAAACATGCATGATAATTTACCGATACCATACCATTACCGAACCGAAACTTCGGTATACCGAAATGCGGTATACCAAAACTTTAGTCAGGTAACGATATAAAAATTTTGTATACCGAAAGTTATGGACTTATGATAAAAACTTTGGTATATAAAAGAATATATTCCTAACCAACAATCCCTAAAAATAGTTGAGAGGATTAGGTTCATGGAGGAGGGATAGAGAAGTAACATTATCCAATTTTCAACCATAAAAGAAGTCTAGCCCCACCATTTTGGTTGCAGCACACTTGATAGAGTACGGATATTGCGAAGGACATTGTCACTTTCAGCACATGTGGCGTCTTTCCTCTCCTCCTCCATGAATCGCTTCTTCAAGAACCCGGCGACGCTGACCCGGTGGTTGTCCGGTGGGTTCACTCGTCAGCTCTCTGGGAAGCTGGGAGCAGAGTCGCCGGAAACAATGGTCAAGTGCTCGGCAAATTATGCTCCTCTGACGCCCATAACTTTCCTGGAAAGAGCTGCAAAGGTGTACAGAGAAGGGACTTCGGTCGTGTACGGAAGTCGTGTTAAGTACACATGGGAGCAGACCTATCGGAGGTGTCTCAAACTTGCTTCTGCTCTCACCCGATTGGGCATTTCTCAGGGAGATGTGGTCAAAACCTTTCTACTGCATTAAGTTTTGCATGATTCTTTTATTGGTTAAGTCAATTTGTTTTGTTTTTTCTTTGTATGGGTTTCTTGAATTTTAGCCGTATTTCTGATTCTATTTTCTTGTTTCCTGAGGTGGTGTTTGGATGTGATTCTTAAAACTCCTTTCTTGCTCCTTGAAGGAGCAGAAGTTGGAGTGTTTGGGTGAAAGTGCAAAAGTGATTCCTATGCTCTAATTTACTCCTAGAATCAGGTTTTTAGAATCTAGAGAAGACCATAAAAAAGGAGGAGAAGCAGAATCCGTTCCAAGCACCCCTGAGTCAGTCTTGTTTGGTATATCTCTCAAGTTCTAGCCAGGGATCCATTTGCTGCCCAGAAAATAATTGCCTGCTAAGATATCTTGATGCAAAATTTTTCTTCTTGGAAAAGTGTTTGTTACAAACTAATAGAGGGAAGAGAAACTGAATGTCTGAATATATTTTGATGTATGTTACTGGTTTACAATGGGTTCTATTTATACAAACACTAATCAAGTCTATAAGGTAAGTAATAATATAATATTAATGGTAGAGATATGTAATGGCTAAATACAATATTATGTCTTAAATATGAATTATTCTTTTTCTTCAATACGCCCCCGCAAGCCAGGTATCTAGTCACTGCCAAGAATCCTGAGCTTGTCTCTAAGAAGGATAAAGCGTTGTCGGGGAAGCGGTTTAGTGAGGGCATCAACTATCTGATCAGATGATGGGATATGATGTACTTCAAGAAGTCCGCGTTGAACCCGCTGCCGAACAAAATGAAAGTCAATAGCCACATGCTTCATGCGAGAGTGGAAGACAGGATTAGCCGAAGATGTAGTAGCACCTTTGTTATCACAAAAAGAGGAGTGGAGGAGAAAGGAGTGGATGCCGCAACTCCCGCAAGAGAGATTCAATCCAAATAATTTCAGAGGCAGCAGTAGAAAGAGCTCGGTATTCTGCTTCCGTGGAAGATTTAGCAATAGTGCGCTGCTTAACAGATTTCCAAGATATAAGGACCCCCCGAGAAAGATGGCATATGCGCTGGTAGAGGAGCGGTCATCGGGATTTCCTGCCCAATCAACATCAGCAAAGGCACGAAGAGAGGGGGAGGTGCTGCGACAAAGAAAGAGCCCATGAGAAGCGGTGTCGTGTAGATAGCGCAAAAGACGTTTGAGAAGCTGACAGTGCTTAACTGTAGGTTTATGCATAAATTGAGCCAATTTATTAATAGCAAATGCAGCATCTGGTCGAGTAAGATTCAAATACTGAAGTGACCCGAGGACCTGGCGATAGAGAGTGGCATCACAGGAGCCTGAACTGTCAAAAAGAGTTAATGAAGCAGAGGGAGCCAACGGCGTAGCCACTGGATTAGCCTCATCCATTTGTAATGTCTTTAATAAATCCATAATGTATTTATGTTGATCAAGAAAGAGTCCATCTTGTGTAGGAGTAACCTGCATGCCCAAGAAATAGTGTAAGGGCTCCTAAATCCTTGATAGAGAACTGGTGGGCCATGGAGTCAATAGTCTGACGTATCAAGTCCGGTGTAGAGCCAGTAACAATAATGTCATTCACATAATTCACATATTGAAGGAAAAGAATAATTCACATTTAAGACATAATATTGTATTTAGCCATTACATATCTCTACCATTAATATTATATTATTACTTACCTTATAGACTTGATTAGTGTTTGTATAAATAGAACGCATTGTAAACCAGTAACATACATCAAAATATATTCAGACATTCAGTTTCTCTTCCCTCTATTACAAACAAGCTGTTGTATGTCTAAATAGACTAATACTACCTCTGTCTTAAGGAAATAAAGAATCATGGTTGAATGAAGCTATAACTTTTAAAATCCTAATTTAACTATAGTTATCCCACTTCTTTTAGATTAGTACACGAAACATTAGTTTTGCACGTACAATTAATCAGACATATATGCTCCTTTTTATGACAGAATGAAGGATGTCCAAAAAACGATTTTATTTGGATGCATTAGGTATAATGTTTTATCTAGTTATTATCTGCATAACCAAAGAAATCAAAACTACTTCAAGATATATGACTTCCTATTCACAAAGGTTCAAAGCTTGTTTCTTTACTGCTAAACACATAATAAGTCTGGACACATTTTCTGGATAAATGTTTTCTTGTAAACAACAGCAGCTTAGGATTGCATGTTATGCAATAATGCACAAATTGATAAAGGGGCCCAATGATAGAGGGGCCAAATACATTCCTGCATGATTAACTACTTATTCATCAATACTGCGATGCGTTTATGTTAAATTGGATTGAATTCTTGGAGCTAATTAGGTCAATGCCTGTTCTTTTAAATTACAGGTTGCCACACTGGCACCTAATGTACCAGCAATGCAAGAGCTGCATTTTGCAGTGCCAATGGCTGGAGCAGTCCTTTGTACATTAAACACTCGCCATGATTCATCCATGGTGTCCACACTTTTGGAACATTCAGAAGCTAAGGTCCTTTTTGTACACCGTCACCTTCTCCCGATCGCTCGAGGAGCAGTTGATCTTCTAACAGACACCAAAACCGATCCCCCACTTCTTGTTTTGATAATGGAGCCTGGAGAAGACACAGTTTCTGATTCCCGTGTGCCCGATCATGACGAGTACGAGGCAGTCTTGGAGAGCGGTGATCCGGCTTTCGATATCCGGTGGCCAAGAAATGAGTGGGACCCGATTTGCATCAACTACACTTCTGGCACGACTTCAAGGCCAAAGGGTGTTGTTTATAACCATAGAGGTGCATACCTGAACACCATTGGCACCCTGTTTGTTCACGAGATGAGTTTTATGCCAACTTATCTTTGGACGGTCCCCATGTTCCACTGTAACGGGTGGAACATGGTTTGGGGCATGGCGGCTTTGGGCGGCACTAACGTGTGTCTTAAGCGTTTCGGTCCCAAAGACATATTTGACAACATTGCCCTCCACAAGGTCACTCACATGGGAGCCGCACCGACAGTGTTGAACATGATTGTCAAGTCATCACCAACCGACTGGAAACCGCTCCCTCACGCCGTTAAGGTCATGATGGGTGGTTCACCGCCGCCTCCACAACTTCTTTCCAAAATGGAAGAGATGGGTTTTGGTTTGATTCACATCTATGGGCTGACCGAGACTTACGGTCCGAGCACATTTTGCATGGAGAAGCCCGAGTGGGATTCTTTGCCCCCTGAAGAAAGACAAAAGATGAAAGCAAGACAAGGGGTGGCCCACTTTTGTTTGCGAGACGTCGATGTAAGAGACCCCGCTACTACAGAAAGCGTTCCGGCGGACAGTAAGACTATGGGAGAAGTCATGTTTAGAGGGAACACTGTTATGTGTGGGTATCTGAAGGACCCAAAAGCCACAGAAGAGGCTTTTAGGGGTGGGTGGTTTAGAAGTGGTGATTTGGGTGTAAAACATCCGGACGGGTATATAGAAGTTAAAGACAGGTCTAAGGACATCATAATATCGGGGGGAGAGAACATATGCAGCGTGGAAGTGGAGACCGTTTTGTATGGTCATCCTGCGGTTCTTGAAGTGGGAGTGGTTGGGAGACCGGACAGGCATTGGGGAGAGACGGCTTGTGCCTTTGTGAAACTGAAAGAGGGGTTCGAAGCTGATGGGAATGAGCTGATTAGTTTCTGTAGGGAACGGTTGCCTCATTATATGGCCCCCAGGTCGGTTGTGTTTGGAGATTTGCCCAAGACATCCACCGGAAAGATACAAAAGTTTGTGTTGAGGGAGAAAGCCAAGGCATTGGGCAGTCTTTTCTGATTCCAATTGTGAACCACAGTTGGTGATGCCCACACGCTCTCTTTTCAACAGTTCTTGATCTACTCGCTATTTGTTCGTCATCCCGATTTGCCATGTTCCAAAATGTTTCATGGTCCTAATTAAGCTTTTCCCCGTCTATAAAAAATTTAAGCATGGTATTAGTTATTTTTAAGACTAGAGATTAATTCTGATTCTCAAAAACCATCCAAACCCTTAAGCGATGTAGGTTTGAATCGCCCGAACAATACACTTGATTCCCACCACTATAGTGGTGGACTCGGGTCGGGCTGCCCGAACCGGAATCGGCTCGGACCGGTACTGTTTGTACCCGGCCCGGCCCGGTCCGGTAACCAGTCTTGGGTAGAGATGACAATTTCGACCGACCCGTTGGATACCCGCACCGAACCGATTTGGTCAAACTGGGGAAAACCGGTTTGATTGGGGAATGGGTACGGGGCGGGGAATTCCCGAATTTTTTAAATGGTTAATGGTGCGGTTATGGTTCTATACTAATCCACCCCGTTATCCGCCCCGAAACCGCCCCGTTCACTAGTGGTGCGGGTACCCGCACCGTTACCCGATCGATAACATTATTAATAAATTATACTCGGGTAACTTTTTATATACAAGAATAATAACTATATATGCTAAATTGTGTATAATAAATAGTATATATCATATAAATAATGCTAAAAAGTATACTACTTTTTTAGGCCTAAAACTAAATATAGGCCTAAACCTATTTTTTAAATTTGGATTCTGGGATGATTACTACTTTTTCATTATGTTACAAGAGATATTGGGTGCATGTCATAGTAATGAATTTAGGCCAGTCTGCTTGATTGCTTAAATGTTTATTTTTGTATGTTTTAGGGTGCTTTGAATATATAAATAACAAGTAGGATTAAAAATTGGTTATTTGTTTTCCAAAAAAAGTTGGTTATTTGGTATCATTTGGGGAAACGGTTACTCGTGGATAAACCGATTTCCCGTTGGGGCGGGTACGGTTCAAATAAAAATTACCCGAATGGGTAATGGGGCGGTTTTGGGGCAAACATTTATCCAACGGAGTGGTTCCGGTTTTATTTGTACCCGTCCCCGATCTGCCCCGTTGCCATCACTAGTCTTGGGGCCAGTCCGGACCAACCGAACCGGGGAAATAACGGGGCGGGCTCGGGCCCCCTAAATTGTGAACCGGTCCGGTCGGGCCTGCCCCGGTCCGGCCAGGCCTGCCCCGGTCCGGGCCACTAACGACTAGTTTTTTTTTTTAAAAAAACTTTTTTAAATAATAAAGAGCTTCCTAGCCGTTCGGACTATTCCCAAACGGCTCTATAGCCGTTGGAGGCTTAGGAGGTTTTTTTTGGGGGGATGGGGGTGGGGATACCAAAAAAATTCTATTTATACTCCTATTTTCTGTACATTTTTTACGTCTCTTCTCCAACTCTTTCTACTCTCTAATTCTCTATTTTCTCATATTCAATCATCTTCATCTTCTCCAATTCTCTCTACATATATATATATTATTTTTATAATTATTATATCTACTTATATATTAATTATCTACTTATAAATACATATATTATATTACTAATATTTATTATCTACTTAATATGAAGTATATACTTATTATCTTCTTAATATTTACTTGATATTTACTTATCACCTATACTTATTGTTATTTACTTATATTTACATATTACATTTAGTTAATACTACCTCCGTCCCTTAAAACTTTGTCAAGTTTGACCGGCACGAGGATTAATAAAGTAAAAACTGTGTAGTTAAGGTTTGTGCAGAGGAGAGAGAATTAACAGAAACCACAAATTCTTTACTTAAAAGGGAAAGTGACAAAGTTAGTGAGACATCCAAAAAAAGAAAGTTGGCAAAGTTTTAAGGGACGGAGGGAGTATATACTTATATATATTAAAGTATTAAATATAAGTGTATTACTCATCTTATAGTAATATATTTATATATTATTTATGTATTATATACTATAAACATTATATTATATATTAGTTGTACAATTATTATATCTATTTATATATTTATTATCTACTTATAGAATAAAGTTCAAATGAGTACAATGCTTAACGTGAGAACGTGAGAACATCACATTTACCCCAACGGGTTGCACAATGAAGCTTGTATATTGCACTTTTTCACATTTTCACAATATTTATCAAAATGCCACTGTATTTATTTAATATAGGCTTAATTCGAGCAAATTGAAAATGTGCATTGTGCACCACATTGATTTAAATGTGAGTGTTCTCACGTTCTCACGTTAGGCATCATTCTCACTGGAATCGCACCCCTACTTATACTCTTATAGTAGTACTTATATACGGAGTATTATATACTATAAACAATATATTATATATTAGTTACACTTGAATTAATAGTAATTAAATTCATCCTATTACTTATACACTCACACTCCCATTAATTATTATACATTTATACACATTCATACATTTTTCCTATAACTTACATTTTTTTATTAATAATAGTTAATTGGTACATTTTTTATTAATATTAGTTAATTGGTACATGTTTCATTAAAGTAAAAAAAGTTGTTAATTGTTACATTTCTCATTTTCCTATTATTTAATTAGTTAAAATATTAACTATTGTTAATTAGTTACTATTAGTTAATTGTTAATTACTAAAATTTCTTATTAGTCACATTTTATTATTACTATTGTACTCATATAAAATATTTGATATAATTTAATATTTGTTACATTTTTAGGGAAATTATCATTGACCTCCCTCGAGGTTTCATGTATTATCACTTAGACCCCCACACTTTTGAAAATATGCGTTTACCCCCCTCCCTATCCTTTAATGAAAATTTAATAACTCATAATTACGTTTAGCAAAAGTATAAAATTAGTTTTATAAATTTTCTCACTTGCAGATTCAATTTGATACTTAATAAATTTATCTGTATTAAGAATCTTTCTACTAGAAAGTACTTTTTTTTGCAGGAACACATACTTTCCGATGAAATAGTCCTTACTATTGACAAATTTATCAGGTACTTAACTACATCTACATGTGAGTAAAATTATAGAACTAGTAGCAGACACAATCGAAAGGTACAAACTTAAAACAATAAATATATATATTACTTTTAAAAGTTCGAAAATATATCTGATATTGTAGAAATCTTGGTGAAACTTTTCTAACGAGGGAAAGATGCCCGATAACGAGGAATATTATTTTATACCTAAAATAGATGTTGGTGAAGAACTTTTAGGAGACTATTGTTACCTATTGTTGATTCGTATGGAAAGAGGTCAAAATACCTACTTTTGTGATTCATATTCGGGGAGGACAAGGCCCGATCTCGAGAATGGCCGAATTTTAAATTAAGAATTCAGATCGGGACCGATACCAGACCGGTGAAAAAGAGGCCCCATGCCTCACTTTTTGGGATCGGGATTGGAGCCCTTGTTTTGACCTCATTCATTTTTTTCATTAAAACCATTGAGAATATTTTAAGATGGGTTATAGCCCATTTACAAGTTGAAAAATACTCTCTCCGTCTCGCTAAGATTGTCCCACTTTACCTTTTCGGGAAGTCCCACTAAGATTGTCTCATACCATATTTGGTAAAGATTGTGTGGCTCTAAATCATTCTAACTTTATTATTACTTTATCAATTTAATATCATCCACACAAACCTACTTTTCTTAATAATCGTGCCACCTTCTCTCGTCTCAATCTTAGTGGGACGGAGGTAGTAGGTAGTTAAAATATTTGAATTATTGGGAGCGAATCTAGACCAATTAGGAGATTGGAACCGAATATAAGGTCACGGGTCGCCCTAATTATTTAGCACTAACCAGTTTGGGTGTGCAACCCGACCTAAACTATAATTGCTTTACCAGTATTTTTACATGTAAACATGTTCATATTTTGTCAAATATTAATTTACAAGCGGTTATTATACCTATAATGATCTCATTTCCAGTGATAACAAAGAGTGTGAATTGGAAATTTTCTTGCATTTAATTTTTAATGGTAAAATTGAGTAGTAAACTTCATTTTTGAGTGGGTTTGGTTCATTTAAGTTGATTTGTTTCAATTTTTGATAAATTTAGCGTATTGTGATCATTTTCAATTGAGTAAATTTACTAAGTTTACAAATTTAAAGGCATAAAACGAACTACCTAAAGTGAGGTTAGTTTTGGTTTTTTTTATTTTGTTCGACTTTTGATAAAAATGTATTTAGTATGGACAAATTTATTAATTACCTGACCAAATTTGTGATTGAATAAAATTACAGTATTAAAAGCGACATAATGAATGGTTATGAAATTATATCTATAATTTGCTCTAAATATAGATTAAGAGTTATTTAACCATCATTAATGGATAGGGAGGGGGGTAAGATTATATTTTTGATAGTATAGGGGTGTGATTGATAATACATCAAACCTCAAGGGAGGTCAATGACAATTCCCCTACATTTTTAAGATGGACCGTGGTAGACATTCTGTAGATATGGGTAATCTCTAACGCAACCGAAATAAGGAGATTGTGACGACTCAACCTAGTTCATGCAAAGGCAAAGGTAAAGTGCGGACCGGGTTTTCTTCTCAAAGTCGAGATGATTTTGAAACGGATTACCAACGGAGAGACGGAATGGCGATGTCCGACGAGCAACTAGAAAACCTATTGTCCCAAAATGATGGGCGCTTTTTCCAACAACACCAAATCCCGACGACCATTGACGAAGAAGAGCTCGAGGATGGGGATGCGGAGGAGGACGGGGGGGGGGGGGGGGGGGGGGGATGGCACCCCGGATGATGAGGGAGAGTTGGAGGATGAGGGTGGTTCATCCCAAATTGGTAAGAAATCTAAATCTCCTATTGTTGAAAATAATTTTACAAAGAGGAAAGACAAAACAATCGATAAACGGTACGCAAATTGCAATCATTGCAAAAAAGAGTATAGCTTTGGAACTTCCGGCGGATACGGGAGCCTAAAAAGGCATATTAAGGCCGCGCCACATCGTGGAGTATGCGAAAATAGACCAAGGCAAGGGGAAGCAAACACAAATATGGAGGTTTGCAAATTCCCAACCCTTTGGTAATTTCTCCTATGATGATCAAAAACATTTGACTGGTATGTTTCATTTAATTATTGAAGAAAATTTACCTTATATTTTTTTGCAAAGTCTTGCTA